TCGACCGCGATTTTGTCGTCCGCGGTTTTGTGGTGGAACCCATCTCCATGGTCATGTGGCCAGAATGACTAGAAACCAAAGGCGCACGGAACACTGTTACCTTCCCACCAAAGGTGGTCCCTATTTTGCTACTTGCATTTTTACATGCTTTTGAACTGCTATGTTGGCAGTAATGGGAGCCCACTCCGTTATGCGACACTAGGGATTTGAATCGCCGACCTTTCTGATCGACAAGCTCAGCGTCTTAGCCACTGAGCCAACGCGTTCCTTATGTAAAGGTTAGTATGCTCCATTTTGGACATCCAATCCCTTCTGTCAATGTAAGGGGAGAACATTTTGTGTTAGAATATTTTGTCCACCTCTAAAATATGGTTATGCTTACTATTTATGCATTTATTTCAATTTTTATAGCCATCCATCTTATGTAGATGACGTTGGGCAACTCACAAGTTAAAACAACAGGCTCATATAAATAAAAACAATCAACCCAAAAACCAAAAGTGCAGAAAATGCCACCCTACAATGTATGGACAATGCCACCATCTTGCAGGTTGTCCACATCCATAGGATCCCCAGGTCTGATGGCACTACCAGGTCCTTCAGGGAATTTCTAAATGCCATCCCAGCAAAAGGATTTGAGTTAGAGCAAAGATGAGCAACTGTGATCAGCACACAGTACCTATCAACAGAATTGCACCCCATATTTCATTTTATGTCCAAACCTCCACAGGTGTATCCTTACTCTGTTTTAATGAATTTATAACAGTAGATGTTGCCAACTAAGCCACAAGCATTGGCTATCCTTTAAACAATTTCACTCTAGGAGAAAACGCGGAAAAAAGCTATCCATGACTCTAAACCACTATGCAGGTACTGTTTCCCTGAAAATAAGACCTCCTTGGATAATAAATCCAATTGGGCTTTTGAGCACATATGCGAAAATAAGTGCTCCCCAGAAAATAAGCCCTCCCCAAAAATATTTAAACACATGCACAGCTGGCACCCACCATCCTCTGGTTGTTTGCTGAGTAAATAACACGAGGTGAGGAGGCAAGGCCAGAGGGGAGGGACATGCCCCATGCAACCCACACACCCTTACCTAATGGCTGCTCCTGTGACCCCAGCCACCTTGCCCCTTCTGTCACGCTAATGGCCGCCACAGCGATGCACAACACAGCAGCAGCCATGAAGTGACCACTCTCACCTCCTCCTGCAGTCTTCCGAGAGCGGGCGGCATACAAAACTAATAAATGAAATGAAATGAATGCACCTCAAAAATAATAAGACCTCCCTGAAAATAAGGCCAAGCACTTATTTCAGGGGTCAAAAGAAAATAAGATCCTGTCTTATTTTCAGGGAAACACGGTATTATTTTTATGCATTTAACTGATATGTTACCTTTTCAAACATTTTTCTCCCTGAGGCAGCTTACAATACTCTGAAAATACTATTTATTTCTGTAAAGCTAAAAAAATACAATATATTAAACATGCTGGTGCCAATTATCATATTCTATGTCCATAGAATCCACACCCAACACTTACCTCGTATGTACTGGTAAGTCGCAGACGATAGAAGATTGGGATGAAGATATGAGCTGGGATAAGAAGCCCCAGAAAATAGGAGCAACCAAGGAACCAGTATTCAGTCCCAAAGCGATAGATTTCAGCGGGGACGCCAAGAATGGCCACAGCTGACTGGAAAGTGGCAAGTAATGAAAAAGCCAGAGGTAAGAAGGTCATGCTACGATTGGCCAGTAGAAATTCTTGGACAGTGCGCTGCTTCCCACCACTCAGTGCATAGAAGAGTCCTATCCCTAGAGAGAAGACTAACAGCAGCACAAAAATAGCGTAATCTGCCACAGTAAACTTCATTGTTGGTGTGGTACAATTGCTGACACCTTTGAAAAAGCTGGTGGAAATCGTGTGAGAGTCCAGCTGTTGGAGAGTCCAGCTTGTTAAGAACTCTTGTTCATAACATAGAAGCACCCATCATGGGTAGAATGGCCAGGATGAATTCTGCTAGAGCACCAGGCTCTCTTTTGTCCACCGCTGGAAATGCAGACAGCAGCCCATCACCAAAGTGTCAAGCGAGTACTTTACATCCAGGATCCTGTTGAGGCTGGCATGATCAAGAATAGCAAATCTGGAGGAAAGAGAAGAAAATGCAAGTGAACAGAATGCCAGAGCATACAATGTCCAAGGAGACATTCACTTCAAATTCCAACAACAAAAGCTCAACTTACGCACTTATTCTGACCTTCATTCTCAAGGCCCACAACTGAGCAAGGAAAGTTTTCTTGACCCAGCAAGGGTTGGCAGGCTTCCAAGCAGGGTAAATGCTGGCAACCAACTGTAACCCTCTAAAGGAAAAAAACGTTTTTGGCCTTTTGCACAATGGCCCATCCATCTCCCAATAACAGAGGCAGGGTGGAGTTGACAACTTCACACCAGGAGTGAAGGCGTCAGAGCAAAGTACTCAGTCTGGGCAAGCCAAAAACAACAATCAGGGGAGTCAGCAGGAGATACATTCAACAAATTTTTCCTAATAAAATATGCCAGTACACACTCAAAGGCAGCCAACTATGACACTAGCAACCCAGATTCTGAAGGAAAGATCCAGTAGAGTAATTAATAGACAACTGGTATATTTGGTGTACCATGCGGTTGCATATGTGAGGTAACTATCTTGAGATTATAACCCTATCAAATCAAGGATCCCTGCCCTATAATGTTTTTCTCTCTTTCTCTCTCTCTCTTTCTTTCTTTCTCTTTTTTCTTTCTTTCCTTCCTTCCTTTTCTTTCTCTTTCTTTTCTTTTCCTTCCTTCCTTCCTTTCTTTCTTTCTCCCTCTCTCTCACACACTCACAATTCTCAAGCCTCATTCACACAAAGGAAACAGAGAAGTCTCCCCCTGAACTATAGCACTTTCAAATGCATATTTGAGTTTGCATTACAAAATATTCTTTCTTACAATGTTCCCCCCTCCAGTAGAAAAAGGAGCTACTGGTATGAAGGATAAACTAGGACTTCTACTCCTGACAGATTAACTTCCTTTATGCAGAGCTTGGGTACGGTCATCTAGAAATGGAGAAAGTTATATTATATACCCTTTATTCAGAAGGGTAATTGAATCCGTTATAATTATTTCAAATAATTATAAACAATTAAAATGGGTTCAGCAATAATACCATAGGCAAAGTTAACATAGGATAAAAATTATTTCTTGTTTAGAGACAGATGAATAAATCTCCCCTAAGTCTTTAATATAGAAAGGTTGGCATAAGAACCATGAATGTTGTTTCCTTTCCTTTCTATAGTTTACACAGCTTATCTTTTTGTGCTTCCTTTTCTCCTTTGTCCAAATCTATGGCTTGTAGTTACCTGCTGTGATTATGTTGAACTGAGTTTTTAACATTGGTTTTAAAGTGGGTGTGTGCTTGCTGTTTCTATTTTAATATTTTTAATTGTTTTTGTTGCTTTTAATTGTTGCAAACTATCCAGAATCACATATGTGAGAAGAACAAATCAAATAAATAAAAAATTGTCAACTGCTTCTCTCTTCTGGTAATCCCTCCGTACTCTTAGTTTTCTGAATATTTTCCTTGTAAACAAAAAAAAAAAATCCAATTAAGTTTTTCTAGCATTAACAGACTGTGTATAAGCCTACTGCGTCAATCAGTATGAATAAATATTAAATTACGTGAGCCTCCATCTTCAGTCTGTGTAGCCATGACACACAATTACCACTTCATCTGATAAGTTCCAGAGAAAAAGATGTCAAAAACCTTTTATATGCATAAAGGTAAAGTTTCCCCTTGCACACATGTGCTAGTCGTTCCTGACTCTAGGGGTTGATGCTCATCTCCGTTTCTAAGCCGAAGAGCCAGCACTTTCTGAAGACGCCTCCGTGGTCATGTGGCGACATCACTAAACACCAACGGCACACAGAACGCTGTTACCAACCAAAGGTGGTTCCTATTTTTCTACTTGTATTTTTACATGTTTTCGAACTGCTAGATTGGCAGAAGCTGGGACAAGTAACAGGAGCTCACTCTGTTACGCGGCGCTAGGGATTCAAACTGCTAAACTGCCGACCTTCTGATCGACAAGCTCAGCGTCTTAGCCACTGAGGTATTGTGTCCCTATCAATCAATATGAATTAATATTAAATTATGGGAGCCTCCATCTTCTGTCTAGCTGTGACATACAATTACTACTTCATCTGTTAAATTCCAGAGAAAGAGATGTCAAAAACCTTTTATATGCATACCGTATGACAAAAGAATATGGACTCTTTTTATAACCACAAGAAACCACAAGTACATTTAAGGACAACAGACAGAATTTGCCAGCCAGTTATTCTTCTACCAGTCTCTCTATCTCTAGAAAACAAGCTTGCCAAGTATGAATGTTGAGAGATAAAGTGAATTGATTGCAGAACTAGTAGATACCATTCAGTGGTGTGTTCCAGATCCCATTGCAACTGGTATGGTTGCAACAGGGCCCAGCGTCCTCCACATGAACACACGTGGCCTGTGCACACACACACACACTCAGTGCACGCATGCGTCTTACTATCCAGCGATGCCTCCACAAGCCTCCGCGATGCTCCAGCTGCTCAGCAGAGCATCGCGGAGGCGCTGTACATGCCATGTGTGTAAGCGCCAAAGGGTTTAAAGACAGGTAAGGAGCCCGGGTGGACCCTCCAGAGCACCATACTGGAATGGTACCCTGTGCTCCGGGCAGGCTCCGTTATGCCCATACCGGGGCATACCGTCTTCAACCCCCCACTGATACCATCCTATCCTTTGTGGAAAACCACAAACAGTGGCTCCTCTGCCTAACCCTGAAGCCTCCCCATAAGCAATGACAAAATGAAGGAAAACATAACCGACATAGTTAATATTTATGTAGCCTGTTCTTCTGGCAGTTTAGAATATGAACCAAGTGTTAACAGCTAACGGAATCTTTTGTTATTTTGGCCTTTGGGTACATTCTCATCTAGGCATGATTAATAATTGTTAAGTAAACTGAGATAGGCCTGACCCAACAGGCATACAATCTATAATTACAAATGGTGATGAAAAGAAAATAGAAGCATAATATGCTAGTAATATAGAAAAATCCCAGTAAATGGAAACGGCTTAGTAGCTTGAAAAATCCAAAGTGCCTCAAGTGATCTAGCAGTTCAAGTTTAGCCAAATATAGGCTCCCTTGGAAATTAATGATGAGTCAGAAAGACTGCAGAAAAACATATTTATTCTGTAAAAGGCTTTACTGTGTGCAATTGTTGAAAGAAATGTCCTTCTGGGTTCAGCTCCAAGTGGGGAAGAAGACACTGG